ATAAAAAACATCGGGACGAATAAAAGGTACCTATGCAGAGGCAGCGGGTCAAACCACTGTGCTAAAAGGCCTATTAACCGGCGGTTACTGCATACCGCCGGTCGCTGGTTAAATACCCAACCCATCCTATCACTATCACTATCAAACTGTCTTGTCACTTCGTGACATTATGCCTTCCCTTTCAGCCCCATCTGGGGCCCCAACAGGGAAGGGTACGATAGGCCGAAAACTTTCTCCGAGAGGGAGGTTTTCCAAGTAGGGACTGAATTTGACCCAGCCCACCCTGGGAGTCGAACCCAGGATCCTACCCGTAACCGCCGGTTAATCTGTCACGAGACCAACTAACCAGCATTGGGACGATATAACGGTGCCCTTCAGAGGCAGCGGTCTAAACCACTGTGCTAAAAGGCCTATTAACCAGCGGTTACTGCATACCGCCGGTCGCTGGTTAAATACCCAACCCATCCTATCACTATCACTATCAAACTGTCTTGTCACTTCGTGACACCATCCTATCACGACATCCGCGTCGCAAAGGGTGGTAACATCCAGCTTAATTGGGCGAACCTCGCCTAACTTCTCGAAACCCAGACTCACTTCGACAAACTCCGTAATGGGTCCAGCCACACTAACCGAGCCGTCGAACATGTGAACTGGTACACTCACAGGGTATTTCCTCTTTTCCTTCCTAATCTTCCCGGCCGCCTGGGGACTTATGTATGAACAGGTTGCTCCAGTGTCCCACAGGGCCGTTAGTTGGTTTCCTTCGATATACACGTTAGATTTGGATTGGTTGTTACAGGTGGAAAGGATCAGGGTATGACAGTCGTTTATACATTTCGGAGTGGTGTTTACGGATTTATATACACAGTTACCTGGTCTCATCAGCTCTTTCCTTTTACTGGGGGTAGGAACAGTGGCCGAGAGAATATGAGTGCGGACCCGCTGAGTCTCGCCTATCGCGACGGGTCCCCATCTTTTTCCTCCTCATCCATTCCCTGCTCTACAAAACCTGCTCCCTCCCCTCTGACTGCATTAATCTTCTTCCTATCTCCGAGAGGGACGGCATTTCCACCTGTGCTAAATCTACCTTCTCCTCCTGCACTTTGTCCAAAAGATCGCAAGGGGATGATCCCAGCCTTTACCTTTGCTGCTATCACAGGACAATCCCGGTTATAATGTCCCCTCTCTCCACATCCAGTACATTTCCCTTCCTCCCGGCGCTTTAATACCTCATCAGCACTGGGTCTCGGCCAACGACGATTTAGTTCGTCTACGTCCGTTGGAATTGCCCTTCCTCCATTTGCGCCTTTAGGTTGCGAGCCCTCAAACTTCGCCGTAGATTGCCCTTTCTCCTTGCTCCTCCTTTCCCCTCCCCGATTTACTCCTCTCTCCTCTCCCCCTGTTCCTTCACCTCCTTCCTCTTCTTCTCATTCTCCTTCTCCACCCTTTGTTGATGCAAACGATTGTCCATGGGGACCACGAATTCAATTAATTCTCGGACGGTCTTGAAAACCTTTCCGTGGCGAGGGATTTCATCCAGCAAGTGACTTTTCAGTCCATTCTTTGCCCGGTCCATGAGGTTCCCATCATCACCCCATCCTAACACCGCTACATATCGTTGAAAGGCGGCGAAGTACGCTGAAGCCAACCCATTCTGTCGAAGCTTGTTTATTCCCCTTGCAACGGTCCTTCTTTGTCAGGGTCTCCGAAATTGGTTTTGAGATATTGGATGAACTTCTTATAGTCTAGAAGGTGTTTGGGGGGGGGGGGGGGGTCACCTTTAGGCAAGTCCGGCTGGACGGCAAGAAGAGGAGTTTCACGTGGATGGGGGATCATGAGAAAAAAAAATTACTTGGTCAGTGGGGAACTTGTGAGCGTTGATTTCGAAGTGAACTTCACATTCTGAGATGAATGCGGTGAGCTTTGACCTCTCGCCCCTCCACAGGTCTGGGAGGGGAAGCTTTATCCCTCCACTCATCTCAGCAACCCCTGGGGTCGCCGAAGCCTGTCTTCCCATGGCAAGCTGTACCCCTTCAGATATCCCCTCGACTATTCCCCCAACCGTCTCCTGTTCCTTCTTCTTCTCCTGCTCCTCTCGATGTTTCCTCTCTGCTATCATATCTTTATTCGTCTCCATCATCATGTTCATTATCGCCAGCATCATCTTCTGAGTTGTGGCCTCCTCCTCAGTCCCTCCTACTACTTCACTCCCGACCGAACTTAGCCTACCTCCTGTGTTCCCTTCCCTTGGTCGTGGAGTCTGTCCCGAATCTTCGGAACCTGTCCTCACCGTCGGTGGTTCTGATAGTCCGGTCGGCTGGGGGGGTAGTTCAAGAGGTAGGGGTGGATAGAAATCATCGCCTTGAGTTGATCCTTCGGGGGTATCAATTGCACCAGGCAATGGTCCCAAGCTTTGTCTTAATTCCTCCAACATCCTCCTCTCCATCTCTTCTACCATTTCTCCTGGTCTACTCATACTTCTTGTGACTCTCCTCTCTGGCTCCATACAATTTCGAACTTCTCCGAGGTTTGCGCGGGTCGTCGGTAAGAGTGATCCTTGATACTGTCACGATCGTCGTTTCTTCTTCTCTACTGACCAACGCTCGACAAACCTCGGCTAACTATGTCGTAGTGGGGCGTCGATGTCTCACTAGGACAGGGTACTCGTCGAGGAACTACGGCTAACTTCGCCGTAGTAATACGTCGAGTGGTAAATGATAAGGTGATCGTCGATGAACTGCGGTTAACTTTGCCGTAGTGCGTTGAACTGCTCGGTGGTAGCTCTCCCTAACTCGATGGTTGTAGCTACTGAATATATCTCTCGCTACTGACAACAATCAAGGATCGCTGAAGAAGTTCAGCGATCTGTAAACTATCTATACTTCCCCTCTCTTCTCATAGAACGTCCCTCAACCCCTGTACAGCCTTGCACTCAGTCCTCTTCGTTCAACTTCGCCGTACCTCGCGATATCCCCGATATCCTACTCCGACTAACTTTGCCTAACTTTGCCTACTCCACTCTCCCTCGGTTTCCTTCCCCTAACTTCGCCGTAGTTCTCCGTTAGGCGGGGTTGTCGTGACAAATAATCCCTAGGTTCTCGTAACTTCGTCGTAGTTGGTCTCAGTGGTTCGGGGTGGTGGTGGATAGTGGTTCGGTGATGGTGAAAGGAGGGTCGGTGATGGTAGTTGTCAGGGATGTCACGACATGGTTTGTGACATCTCCGAAGGCATTCAATATCTTTTGTATGAAGAAGACAAGGCTCCATCCGAGGTGAAGGATCTTCTAAAAACATGGTGGAATTGGCAAGACACAGCCAGCAATTTGCCGGACATTTACGGTGTTCTGATTCAAGCCGAGCAAATGACTCACCTTCCTGTGAGTGAGGGATATGTAGACTCCAGAACAGATTGGCGGACGGCGGAAGATGAATATAAGGAAACAGATAACGCTTTCACATCCATCGATTACCAGTACTTTTTGGGGAAGTGAGATAATCATGCTAAGGCTAACGGGAATCATATGCATGGGATGTCGAGTACCGTGGACGGAAAGTCTCAGGTTGAATTCTCCCGCCCCGCCTGAACTTCAATGTCATCAATTCCTTGATATTCATGTCTCATAGTCGTCATGTACTTATCTAGTGCTACAGGGTGGATAATTTTCACTGCATAGATGGGGTAGGACTGCCTGCCGTCCCGTGAAAAGTTTACTTTTGCGACCAGGACCTCCTCATCATGTTTGTGAGTTTGAAAACCCACTCATATGTCTGTATCAGTGTTGTTATCTTAAGGCTTAAGGTAATAAGGGTTGTAGAATGGGTCACGATCAGCCCTTATTAAGGGTGTAGGACCGTAATATGAAGTATTAGAGAGTTAACTGCTTACGTAATTGGTTTCCCATCACCTTCCCCAAATTCCTAGTCTGGAAAGTCTAGTAGGCGTGCAAAAACTGTTAGGCACCCCTGCATATTACGATATAACGCTTGTCCTCTTTCCTCCTGCCATATTACGGTCATAACCAAGCCCTTATTACGTATCGTAATATCAACCCTTAATAACAAGTTAACAACACTGGTCTGTATCAACGGTCTCATGTACGTGATCAATCAGTACCAACCATGTATCCGATGTAGAAAGTCAATTGTTGATAAAGACCATGCATACCATGACTCTAGCTGACGACTTTACTGTGACAGGAAGTGAATCTCATAGTCAGGCTAAGTTAAAGGGAGATGGCGGGTTATCTAGCAGCAATTGGTGATTGTAGACATCACCGGTCAATACACCTCTCCGTCCACCGATCGCTAACCAGTTGTAAGACGTGTGCTGGATGAGAATAGCACACGCCTCCAATGCAGAATGTAGAAAGGTAAAAGAAGGAAAAGAATATGCATATCACATAGAACCACTCCTTATATCCACAACTGAGTCCTCCAGAGGAATGAGGGGTAAAGGGTAAGTGTCTAGTGTCAGAGGAACAATACACTACGTGTACGCGGCTACACCAGTGGATCAGAGGAGAACGAAGGCTGGCCAGGGTACAGGTACTGTTATACGACCAAGGCACTGGTCAGTCACGGTTTAGGACAAAATTCATCCTGCCAATACTGATAAGCAATAAGTCAGCTGTCTAAAAAGCTTAGGCTACAAGCTGTAAGACGTGATCGATTGGGTACCGGAAACGTCGCCAAATGTAGAAAGGCAATTGAAGGGTAAAGTGTCACAAAGCGTGTGACAAGTCGAGCGAAAGTCCGGGAAGGGTATTTAACCAGCGATCAGCGGTAGAGTTAACCGCCGATTAATAGGCCTTTTCGTCGCAGTGGTTAACAACAATGTCACGTTGGGCACTGTTATATCGAGCCAATGCTGGTTAGTTGGTCCTCGTGACATAAAGATGATGCATACTTCTATCTACAAGGGTTTATGTCTACAAACTACCTAAGAGATGAATAAGCATAGAATGTCATGGAATGGGATAGAAGAAGATTGTGGTCCAATATGGTAGAAGGAAGGAGAATAATCCACACGGATCTATACGGTTACTACACAAGCCATCACCTTTCCTCACGACATCCCTTTTTTTACCCAATACGGATCACTCTGTCAGATCAGGCTGTTGATACCACCTGATGCTACTTGAGGTGACTTGGATGTCCCCTTGCCCCAGCAAGACAACTGTGACTTGCCTGGCATCAGCACAAGACGTCATTCTGAATACCCATGTTGTCACAAACCACGTCGTAACATCCCTGATGTCGCGGCCGTCGAACAACTACTTCTTAATAGACCGACGGTCGACGAACCTCGGCCAACTTCACGCTCTGAGTCGATGTCTCACCCAACCAGGAGGGCGCAGACGTCGAAAGGGGTGTAACTACGGCGTACTTCGGCGTAGTTACTCTAACTAGGGTTTTGTTCTACTGATGGCGATGTATCTCGATTTATAGCTATCTCTATCTGTCTTTCACTACTGACAACAATCAAGGATCGCTGAAGAACTTCAGCGATCTTCTCAGCTAATATGACCTATCCCTCCTAGACGTTCATCCAACCCTCCCGCGCTTTGACGTACTTCAACGCACTTCGTCCAACTTCCCCGAACCCCGGCCATCCTCCTCCTCCTTCGACTAACTCCGCCTAATATCGCCGCACTTCTGCTCCCATTGTCCCTACCTAGCCTAACTCCGCCTAACTTCGCCGCACTTCTGCTCCCATTGTCCCTATTTACCCTAACTTCATCTAACTTCGCCGTACTTGGTCTCAGAGGTCCTGAGTTGAGTGTAGAGTAAAGAGGTTTGAGTCGTGATGGGGTTTTGATGGTCAAAGGAGGGTCGTTGTTGGTGGAATAATCGAGGTGTCACGACGTAGTTCGTGACAGTCGCCCCCTTCTTTAGCCGCGAACGTCCTCGTGAGCGATTACACCCGTACTGTGGGAAGAAAACCTAGCAGCGCAGTACCTCCATCCTATCTTCCTCCAATTCTATCCCTCGTCCTTCTGCTCCCCGCGCCGTACTTCGTAGTTGAGCCTCCTTCCACTTTGAAACCCGAGAGTGAGACTCCCCTAACTTCGTCGAGGTCTGCCGTAAGAGCCCCTGTGTCTTTTGTAGGTGAGACACGTTTCCCAGACGGTAGCCGAACAACACCGTTGTTTGTCGAAGTAACCCTTGTTTATATTGAGATGAGACACTATAGCGTGGGAATTTTGATCGTCCCTGTGTTGCCTTTTGTTGATGAAACGCGAAGGATGCCGCATGTTGACGACGGAGGGGTAACTCGAGTTATACTAAATACTGAGCAGTTCATCGTCCTTCTCTCTCTTCCCCATCTGTTTTCAAAACTTTCTATCTCTCGCACTTAGAAAACGGATTTGTTACCTCGACGTATCATCTTTTATTTCTTTAAGTATTTTTAACGTCATGGCCCCTCCTACTCCCACCTCTAACCCTTTCGCCGCCATGAGGAACTTTGGTGGTATGGTGTCGTCTGCTCGTGAGTTATTCCTCGACACTTACCTTACTTCGCCGGACTTGGCTGATGTTCAGTTTCCTTCGGCGACAGATCTCGCCAAGTCTCCTCCCTCGGCCTCGGCACCCTCTCTTTGGGGGAGCCGTCTGGCGATGTCCCGCCTCCTCGCTCCGCTTCTCCTCCCGCTGGTCCTCCCGCTGGTCCTCCCGCTGGTTCTCCCTCTGCTTCTCCTCCTCCTGGTTCTCGCTCTGCTTCCCCTCCTGCCGGTTCTCGCTCTGCTTCCCCTCCTGCCGGTTCTCGCTCCGCTTCTCCTCCTGCTGGTTCCCGCTCGGCTTCTCCTCCTGCCGCCACCCCTCGCCGCAGGACGCCCGCCTTTCGTCGTGGAGAATCCCCGTCCTCCTCCGACCAGGAGCCGCTCAGTGGTTCAGAGTCGGACGATCAGTCAGACTCCGAAGGAAATGGGGGTGATGATGATGATGAGGATGATAGAATCGTGTCGGAGGGTGAAACCGAGTTAGAGGAACACTCGGATGATGATATGGTGGCGGTTAGTGTAGAGGACAACGATGGTGATAGTCCCGAGTGTGAGTTCTTCGCACATCCTCCTACACCTTCGCCGAACTTGGCCTCGTTTATCTGTTCTTCAGCTTCCTAAGGCACTGCTGACTCATAGTCGTTCGCGTTTCCCCCCCTGCCCAAATCGTGGGCCAGAAACGACCTCGTGCCCCCTCCTCCTCTTCCTCTTCTTCTTCTTCTTCTTCCGGGGTTCTCCCCCCCGCCAACGCCATCGCCGCCGCTGCCTCTGCTGCTGCTCGCCGCCCTGTTGCCGCTGCTCGTCCCGCCGTCGTTCCCCGTCCCGCTGTCGCCGCCGCCGCTCCTGTCGCCGCCGCCGCTGCCGCTCCTGCTCCCCCCTCTTCTCCCCGAGGGGAGCCTTCGCCCAAACGGGCGAAGAGGTCATTGCGTGAAGAAGAGTATTTGTGGAAGAAGTTGGAGTCTGAGCCTGGTCGTTGGGTTGCGGTTGGTGTCGATGAGGCGTGCGATCGTTGCAGGTGAGTTCCCCTATTCGTACTTCGCCTAAGTTCTCCTTGCTAATTAGTAGACGTGAGATCATCACGTATAATCGTCCGAACTGGCCCTGCCTCAAGGCAGTCCGGCCACACAACAAAGCCCTCCGTTGTGCTTCATGCACATCTGGTCCCTGCTCCTTCTGTCCCGTCTCCTCTGCTCGGGACATCCCCCCCCGTCCCTCCGACTCTTCGCCTTTCCCCCCTCCTCAGACTCCAGCGTCTGTCCCCCGGTCGCGGGTACCTCCTTCGTCTCTCCGGTCGGTTCGCCGTACTTCGCCGGACCTCCGCCCGTCGCCTCCGTCGCCGTCGCCCTTCGCTCCTGTGGCCGGCCCATCACGTCTCCCGGCTGTTCCTCCTTCGTCTTCTCGCCGTCCTTCGGCCTCTGCTCCTTCGGCCTCTCGTCCTTCGGCGCCACGTCCGTCCCCTCCAGTGGTAGCTTCTCCTCCGGCTCACAGCACCCGAAGTCGGCGTCCTTCTGTTCCTCCGGCCACTTCGGCGGCCCCTCCCGTCACCCCTCCCTCTGCTTCCCAGAAGACACCGAAGTCTTCTTTAAAGAAATCAAAAGGGAAATCTAAAGAGAAGGAGGTTGCCTTCAATGATGGTGATGTGGAAGGTGAAGATACTCAGCGTGCTGGTCCCTCTGCTCCCCGGTTGTCCCTCGTCCACCCTCGTATCTCCCTGGACGTCCGTATTCCTGAGGACGAAAAGGAATTCGCCACTTATCGTTCTCTCGTCCTCGGTCTCACTACTCAGCTCGAGGCCGCCCGAAATGATACATCTCTCCTGCTTGACTTCTCTTCTCGTCAAGCTAACGCTTTAAACAATCTCACTGCGGCGTTAGTAGATGTAGTCAACACTGGGGCTCTGGACGACGGAGCAAGGACGAGGTTAGCGGACGTCTCTCGCCGAAGCCTTACTGAGATAGCCGATGTTCGCCGAAGACTGTTCGACACCCCCTTCCTAGTCACTCCTATGGCGTATGAGCCACCACCGTCCCTTGACTGGTTAGGTCGCCGTAGTAGTTCTCGTGTCCCAGCTTCCGCCCAGACTGCTCTCGACCTCCTCAGTCTTCCCTTCGAGTGTCTACGGACCATACGTTCTCTGTGGAGGACTCCGAGCATGCAAGCTGCTCGAGATGTCCAGGACTTCGGTGACTTCTTCGGGGCTATGAATCGGGCATGGAATGCTTCTCTCTCTACTGTGTTCCCGTCTGAGACTCTCGATCTACCTTCGGTCATCGGTAGCCTCCACACCAATCCCACGGGACCGAGTAGATCGAAGGAGAAAGGAAAAGGAAAAGGTAAGGGTAAGAGTAAGGACAAGTGAGCGGTACGTAGCTGTAATCCTAAGTTGTATGCAGTACGTTCTATCTCCTAGCCCTTCGCAGTCGCCCTTCCTTCGGCTTAGTAGGGTGAAGTTCGTGGAACTTCGCCAATATGTCGTCAGCTCCATCGACGTTCTCCACTGGTTCCCATGATACTGAGTCGTCTGTTCCTTCGTAACCTAACCACTCCACCAAGTACTCTAACTTTCCTGATCTCTTATTTACTCTAGAGTCTACAATGTCTTTTACCTCCCACGATTCCCCTACATTATCTACCTCTACTGGGCCAGGTGGTTCAGCTTGCTGACCAGGGAATACTGGAGGATGATAAGGACGGAGCAAGGAGACATGGAATACGTCATGGATACCTGCCATCGTTCCTGGTAGTTCCAATTTACAAGCATGAGAACCCACCTGCCGTACTACTTTGTACGGCCCACTTTGCTTAACATCTAACTTCTTCATTGGTCTCTTCGTCTTAATATTCTCTAACGACAGCATCACTAGGTCTCCTTCCACGAAGTTCGGCGTAGCCCGGTGTTTCCTATTGTATCCTTCGGCGTACCTCTCATTAGCTTTCTCAATTCCTTCGATACAATCCTTGTGTATTTCAGTCAAGTCTTTTACCACCACCGTAGCAGCGGGTACTTCGACTTCACTGGCCTTGATCTCTTCCGCCCACCGAGGATGATATCCATAGTTCGCATAGAATGGTGTCTTATTAATCGCGGAATGGTGGGTGTTATTGTAGGCGAAACTAGCTCGAGCTAGTAGCTTCGACCAATCGTTCTGCTGATAAGAAGTGAAGATTCTAAGGTATAGTTCCAAGGACTGATTGGTTCGTTCGGTCTGCCCATCAGTCTGTGGATGGTACGCAGTAGAAAGATGTAGTCTTATCCCGAGACTATCGGTCAAGTTCTTCCAAAACTTCGAGGTAAACTTCGATCCCCTGTCCGATACTATGTTCTCCGGTAATCCATGCTGAGCCACCACATAGTCCATTATCAACTCTGATAGGCCAGCTGCGGTTAACTTTGTCGTAGTTGGGATAAAAATGGCCCATTTGGTCAACCGGTCCACTACTACTAAGATGGAATTGTATCCATGGGAATTAGGGAGCTCTTCAATGAAATCCATCGAAATACTGGACCATGGCTTCGTAGCCACCTCCAGTGGTTTAAGCTCTCCATGGGGTCTCTGTCTGTTAGTCTTTGCTCTCTGACATACCGCGCATCCAGCGATGTAATCTTCGACATCCTTTCTTACTCCCACCCAAACGTAGTCCCGTAGGACTAGCTCGAGAGTCTTCGCTGAGCCTGGGTGACCAGCTAGAACCGAGTCATGTCGCATCTTCATGATCTTTAGTCGAGCATCGGCGTAGTCTGGCACATAAGTACGACCATCGAACGTAAGGAACCCCCTTGAATTCCATCCCCCACGAAGTATTAAGGGAGACCGCGAGGTACGGCGTAGTTCGGTGACCGACTCTGGTTCCTGCACATTATCGTGACATGTCAGATGAGAGCACTTGGCACAGGTTACCCCCAGTAATTCTTCTCTAACCTCCTCCACCTCTTCGTCTTCCTGTATTCCAACTATCAAATCCATAGGATCAATGAGGTCGTTTTCTCGTACTTCCTTTGTACCCTGTAAGGCTCGAAGTAGGTGTTGTAACCCAGAGCTAGTGTCGTCAAGTTCGTCGAACTTCGGCAAACCTTGAATAAGATTGCTCTCCTGCATCATAGTACTTCCTTTTCCCGAGTGGTAGTCTGCTCTTCTCGACAGTCCGTCCGGCAGTGTAGCTTGTTTTCCCGGTCGATACACCATCTTAAACCTGAAGTTAGAGAGCTCTTCGACCCACCTACCCTGCCTGGGGCTAAGCTGCTTAGGCTCCATCCAGTAAGTTAAATTTAAATGATCTGTGAGAACTGTAGTCTCTACCTGTAGTAGTAAGTGTCTCCTTCTCCTGAAAGCTTCAACAATAGCGAGTAGCTCCTTTTCCCCTACCGTATAGTTTAACTGCGCCGCCTGGAACGCTCCGGATTCGATGGCCACCGGATGCTCTTGTCCTAACTCGTTCACCTGCGAAATTATGAAACCCCAGCCGAAGAACGACGCATCTGTTTGTAGTAGTGTCTTCAATGAAGGGTCAAAGTGAGCCAATACTGGCGCCCTACACATCCTATCCTTCAATTCTTTAAAGGCTCTTTCCTGCTCTACTCCCCAAACAAACGGCACATCTTTCCTGGTGAGGTCATTGATCGGTTTAGCAATCTTGGAGAAGTTGGGGACAAAACGCCGATAATAACTGACAACTCCCATAAATCCCCTACTCTCTCGCAAGTTCTTAGGACGGGGAAAGGATACGACAGCATCGATGTAATCCGGGTTACTGGAAATTCCCCTCTGTGAAACCACGAACCCCAGGAAGACTACCGAATCTCTCTCAAACTCGCACTTACTAGCTTTAACGAACAAATTCGACCTCCGAAGCACTTCAAACACCTTCGCCGTAGTTCCCCTCAGTTCTTCCAACGTTTGACCGTAGATGAGTATATCATCTATGTAGACTACTACTCCCTTTCCCAGCAGCTCTCGAAAACTTTCATTCAAGAAGTGCTGAAACACAGCGGGAGCATTCCGTAGGCCATCTCGGACAACAAGAGACTCGAACATACCGTACTGTGTCCTGAACGCTGTCAGGTGTTCATGACCTTCCTTTACTCGTAGGAGTTGATAAGCCCCAATTAGGTCTAACTTGCTGAAGTACCTCGCTCTTCCCAGCTCTTCGGTTATCTGGCCGATCAGAGGCAGAGGATAGGCGTCGGGTATCGTTGCCTCGTTTAACTTTCGGTAATCAATGACCATTCGCCATTGACCTTTCGCCTTCTTCGGTACCAAGAACATCGGTGATCCGTAGGGCGAATTGCTGGGTCGAATTCTTCCGGCCGACATTTCGCGATCTAGGATGTCTCTCAGCGCACTTCTCTGATCTTCTCCAAGCGAGTAGAGTGGAGCAACCTTCAGGTTCGCCCCCTCCTTAAGATCAAACTCCAAATCATAGCTCCTCGAGGGAGGTAATTCCTCACCTCCCTTCCTTGGGTTAAAGACATCAATGAACGAGTGGTATTGTTCAGGAACCACCTGATACAATTCCTCCTGTTCCTCCGGACTCAGTTCATCCTGATCATCTTTGTCTCGGAGATCTATCGCGTCCGTCGGAGTTGGCAGACCTATGGCCGCTAACTTCGCCGCACTTGGTGGGGTTGGGATGGGAAATTTCACCGAGTTGTCTCTTCCATCAAGGACAACCCCTTCCTTCCTCATCCAATCCCACCCTATCACAACATCTGCGTCGCAGAGCGTTGTTACATCGAGACGAACAGATCGCACTTCGGCGTCCTTCGTCAAACTAAATCCGACTTCGACAAACTCGGTGATAGGCCCCGCGACACTCACCGAGCCGTCGAACATGTGAACGGGTACGCTCACCTGATATTGTCTCCTTTCTGCGCCTATCTTCGTCGCCGCTCTAGGACTTATATATGAACAAGTAGCCCCGGTGTCCCAGAGCGTAGTTAGCTTCATTCCATTAATTAAAACGTCCGATTTAGGTTGATCTCTGGAAACGGAAGGGATGAGGAGATGATTATCGACATTGCATGAACAAGGGGTACTGAGTGGTGTATTTTTGTATTCACAATCCTCTGGCTCCATCAGTTGCGTCTCTTTTATAGGTTTGGGAATGGTGGCCGAGAGAATATGGCGGACCCGCCGAGCCTCGCCTACTGCGACAGGTCCTCTTCTTTTCCCTGGTTCTCTTCCAAATCTACTTCTCCTCCAACCGCATTCAAGTTCCTCCTCTGTCCAAGAGGTACTGCATTCCCTCCCGACCCTCCACCACGTTCTCCGAACTTCTCTCCCCATGGAGGCAACAGTCCAACCTTAACCTTAGCCTCCCTTACAGGACATTCCTTCAGCCAATGTCCTGTTTCACCACACTCCGTACACTTCCCCTCTTTCCTCCTTGTCTCCCTCAGATCGGAGCTTGGCCTAGGCCATTTTCGGCGAACTTCGTCGATGTTCGGCGGCGCACTCCTTACCACCGTGGACGTCATGGCCGCTTGGACACCAACCTGCGCCGAAGGTTGTCCCTTTTCCCATTTCTTCTCTTCTTTCTTCTCCGTCCTCTGACTTTCCACCACCGTAGTCGTCTTTGCCCCCCCTTCCCTCTTCCTCTCTGCCTCCTTCTCCACTTGCCTCCTCCACAGGCGGTTGTCCAAGGGAATCACAAACTCCAATAGCTCCTTCACCGTCCCAAACGATCTACCATGTCTCGCAATTTCATCCAGAAGATGTGATTTTAGACCTTTCTTAGCTCGATCGACTAAGTTTCCATCATCAGACCACTTGAGTATCGCCACATGTCGTTGAAAGGCAGAGAAGTAGTCCGAAGCAGAGCCGGTTTGTTTAAGGTCGTTGAGTTGTCGGGCTGCAGTTCCTTCTTCATCTGGGTCGCCGAAGTTAGTCTTGAGATACTTGACGAACTGGTTGTGCGCCGTGAGGTATTCTGGGAGAGGCCGTTTAGATAGATCGGGTTGAACGGCGAGGAGGGGAGTTTCGCGTAAGTGAGAGATCATGAAAAAGACTTTCTTAGTGTCGTCGGGGAAAAGATGAGAGTTTAATTCGAAGTGTACGTCGCACTCGGACAGAAAGGCCGTCAACTTATTCCGCTCTCCTCTCCAGAAGTCTGGATTAGGCAACTTGATACCCTTCCGTTGTTCCCCAACTACGCTTGGAGTCGCCGAAGTTTGCCGTCCCATGGCGTACCTCACCCCTTCAGATATCCCTTCTGCAATTCCCCCTACTGTCTCCCTTTCCCTCCTCTGCTCCCACTCCTCCCTGCGCCTACGTTCTTCCATCATATCCTTGTTCATGTTTGCCACCATCTGCATCAAGGCTAGCATCACCCCTTGTGTCCCTCCTTCTCCGAAGTTCGTCCCACTTCCAGCGTTTTCTGGCCGCGGAGTTTGATCCGATCCAACTGGGGATCCGATAGGCGGGGGAGCATCGCCCGCAGGGGTAGGAGGATTAGAAGGTATTGGTGGAATGGACTCATCTCCTTGAACTGACCCCCCTACACTATCTTCCATCCCAAGGTCCTGTCCCATTGCTCTTCTAAGCTCCTCCAACGCTCTCCTCTCATTTTCCTCCATCCTGTCGTCACTCCTACTCATGCCTCGTGTGACTCTCCTTTCTGGTTCCATATTATCTTCGTACTTCTCCGAGGTTCGCACGGGTCGTCGGTAAGAGCGATCCTTGATACTGTCGCGGCCGTCGAACAACTACTTCTTAATAGACCGACGGTCGACGAACCTCGGCCAACTTCACGCTCTGAGTCGATGTCTCACCCAACCAGGAGGGCGCAGACGTCGAAAGGGGTGTAACTACGGCGTACTTCGGCGTAGTTACTCTAACTAGGGTTTTGTTCTACTGATGGCGATGTATCTCGATTTATAGCTATCTCTATCTGTCTTTCACTACTGACAACAATCAAGGATCGCTGAAGAACTTCAGCGATCTTCTCAGCTAATATGACCTATCCCTCCTAGACGTTCATCCAACCCTCCCGCGCTTTGACGTACTTCAACGCACTTCGTCCAACTTCCCCGAACCCCGGCCATCCTCCTCCTCCTTCGACTAACTCCGCCTAATATCGCCGCACTTCTGCTCCCATTGTCCCTACCTAGCCTAACTCCGCCTAACTTCGCCGCACTTCTGCTCCCATTGTCCCTATTTACCCTAACTTCATCTAACTTCGCCGTACTTGGTCTCAGAGGTCCTGAGTTACGTGTAGAGTAAAGAGGTTTGAGTCGTGATGGGGTTTTGATGGTCAAAGGAGGGTCGTTGTTGGTGGAATAATCGAGGTGTCACGACGTAGAATACCCTTGACGTGTTGTATACCAAGTTTCTCAACCAGACCTGGTGGAAAGATTCGACTGGCAAAGGCCCTACGGAAGATGGCTGCAAATTCGGTGTCGAGACCACCGATACCCATATCTTCAAACTTGAAATTGGGTGCAAGGATAGCGAAGTTAGGAGGAAGGGAACTGAGGGAGAGCAGAGTAAGGGAACTTAGGCGAAGTTAGTCGAAGTGAGCAGAGTAGGATATCAGGGATATGGCGAGGTACGGCTAAGTTGAGTGAAGAGGACTAAGCGCGAGGCTGTGCAGGAGTTGAGGGAGGTTCTATGAGAAGAGAGGAGAGGTATAGATAGTTTACAGATCGCTGAACTTCTTCAGCGATCCTTGATTGTTGTCAGTAGCGAGAGATATATTCAGTAGCTACAACCATCAAGTTAGGGAGAGCTACCACCGAGCAGTTCGACGCATCACGGCGAAGTTAGCCGCAGTACATTGACGATCACCTTATCATTTCACCACTCGACGCATTACTATGGCGAAGTTAGCTGTAGTTCCCCGATGAGTACCCTGTCCTAGTGAGACATCAACGCCCCACTACGACGTAGTTAGCCGAGGTTTGTCGACCGTCGGTCAGTAGAAGAGAAGAAACGACGACCGTGACACATGTGTACTTACTACTACCACTACTTGTGAGATGCAGGGATAGCGACAACAAGCAGCATGCAGCACGGTATTGGGGGATGTTCTAGCATCTATTGTTCTCAGTCATCTTTCCGACATACCAGCCTTCTAGTCTATCGCAACCAATGACCAACGGGGAAGGGAATGAACTTACACCTTGTTACTCTCCCTGCACACCTCAACTTCCAAACAAGAGGCAAATTGGAGACTGATATAGCAGCTCAATCCTCCGCCTGCACTGCTATTTCCATACCCATAGTGTTACAGACATTGTTTCATAACGTTCACGAGTAGCCATTAGATGTGAGTCAATCCCAGATGGATTAAGAAGCATGAATGAGTGGTTTATCAAAATGTGACATGAAAGTTGAAAACCGGAAAGTGAACCTGAGACTTCCCGGCCACCGTAGTCGAGAGCCAGTCGTGCTAATCGCTCGATGGCATTCCTGGACGATCAAATACGTGATGACCAGGTTTGCTCCTTCAAGCCGGTAGTTACCTTCCTCACATCAGCGGCGAAGCTAGTGGAGCTTTGACACCGAGAGCAATGCGAGGATGGGCAACTGGACCGGGAACCGGGGGCGGCCATGCAATCAAGTCGAGAGTCGGCAATGCCTATCGTCGTACGCGTTCGATCCGCAAAACTCTGGTGGAGTGCTAATCTGGTTTCATCTCTTGCATTCATACGTGCGGAGCAAAGCTCGTCGGAGGAAATCCTTTGAGTTTGCCACTTTGCAATATGGATCCGGCCTTGATACTGACAACTCGATATTTACGAACGACGATCTATGGCTTGAGGATGTCGAAGCGTTCCATCGAGGGCAAACGAGAGAATATCGACTGATCGACGAGCGATTCGTGTCCCTGTTCTACTCTGCTCCCTGGCGTACCGCTTCTAATGATGTTCGGAGCTGAGCTCGGAGTTTAGTGACCATCAAGGGCTCATCCTTGTCCGGCGCTGGCTGCACGTCAGCTGGGCTTTGTATAAACCTGAGGGTGGGTCCGTGAAATCGTCGGTGATTATGTCGTATAGAGTTCGGTAGCCTATACAAGAATTGGTAGGATCATGTATGAGAGAGAAGTTGGAGTGAGAACAATATCCGGATAGGGTGTCAAGAAGAGGGAGAACATGACTTGGGAATAGAAAGAATATGTCAGAACTCACTAACTGGTCCAGCAAGTATTCGAGCTCGTCGATGGTCTGAATCATGTCAACAGAAGTGAGTACATTGGCGAACCTACAAGGACGACGGGGATGCTAGATTGATCTCAGCGTCTTATCAAGTTTACTACTTACCGCACGTACCGGTTCATTGGATTTCGGTATACCAAATATATCTGCCTGGGGAAGTAACTTAGAGAACAAGACCCGATAGATTGCAGGCTAGATGTGGGTGGCACGTGCCAGGTGACACACACTGTGATATGGAGGCATATTTTAAGGATCCACATCAGCATTGACAGTATTGGTGTAGGGGTAACATAAGGGCTTTCCAACGAGTTTGCCCTTGCGGAGGGTTCGAGTCCCTCATACTGTACTTCTATCTTCTCCTTTTGGTAGCTATGTGATTGCCTTGGTTTTGGTCTCTGTTCGTCCTTTTGAATGCGACTCGTCTTGTCATGTTGACCTACCATGGCCTGTGAGACTAGCAAAATGGGGAGCGTCGACTCGTCACCCTTGCGTCGGACGACACCAACCCCGTCGTCCCCTGTGTCGCGGCAAATACCCCTTCTCACTCGAGACGAAGTCGCTCGTCGGATCACCTCGGGTCTCGCCCTTTTCATCCATCGTTGTCGAGTGGTCAACGCGACGTCCTGGCTCTCTCATCATCCCGGTGGATCCCTTGCCATTCTCCACTTCGTCGGACGTGATGCCACAGATGAAGTCGAAGCGTACCACTCTCCCGCAGCCCTTGCTCGAATGGAACGATTCGTCGTCGGGCGTATCGCTCTTGATCCTGAAACAGGTTGGAGGCCACTTACACCCCCCATTGCTCTCGGCCTCGTTGCTCATCCCGACGGTGTCAAGGGACATTGGGCTAGAGAGGGACGTTTAGTATTGGGGGAAGAGATGCTGCGACCTATGGCTGAAGAAACAAGCGAAGACGTTATTGTACTTTCACCTCAACAGCTCGAACCGCCTTCTTCAGACATAGATCTCAAGAGAGAAAGACAAAGATCTCTCGCCTATCGACAACTGAAATTGAAAGTGAAAGAAGCGGGTTTGTTCGACAGACCTGGACCACTTGTAGGGTATGGGTGGGATATCGTTCGGTATATTGGTTTGGGCGGTGGGGCATTCGGTCTATTTCATATGTAAGTAGTGTCTTCTACTGGAGCGCAAAGCTAAACGTCAGTACAAATGGCTGGATAGGAAAGATGATCTCAGCGTTGTTATTGGGATTTTTATATCATCAACTGACTTGTAAGTTCTCTTACATTCCTTGGGCAAGAAACTGAGGAATGTAGTTGTGGTACACGATGCTGGTCATACGGGTATAACGGGAGATTGGTGGTGGGATAGAGTCATTTCCATGACAGTCGCATCGTGGATTGGAGGACTGAGTGCAGGATGGTGGTGCGATGTAAGCTCATTCATGACAAGTTTTTCGCATCTGCTGACTCAAGAGAACCACAATATACATCATTGTGGGTATTTTGTCTATCAATGAACTTGTTGTACTAATTTTTCAAGTGGTGACAAATCATCCTGAACATGACCCGGATATCCAACACATACCCTTCTTCGCCATCTCTAAGGATTTCTTCTCATCTTTATGGTCTACATATTATAAACGCGTCATGGCATTTGATATCTTCTCCAAAACCTTGATTTCTGTACAGTGAGTTCAGCCAGGGAAGAAGTACGCTTGCTCGGTTGACATATAGACATCGACTGTATTACATCGTTCTCTCCCTCGCCCGTTTTAATCTCTACGCTCTCTCTTACGTTTACCTCTTCGGTCCAAAACCGAAGCATGATGCTTTCTGGCGTTACGAACTCCTTGGTGTAGCCTTCTTTTGGGTTTACTTCGGGGCTATGCTTCGGTCACTACCCAGTTGGAAAATGCGTCTTGCCTACTTGCTCGTCAGCCACATTGCTAGTAGTCCCGTTCATGTACAGGTTCGGCACAGCTTTCCTTACGAATTTTAGAAGATGTGCTGATTCATCTAGATCGTGCTCTCACACTTCGCCTGCTCGACCGATGATCTCGGGCCAACTGAATCCTTCCCTTCTAGACAACTACGTACAACAATGGACGTCGTGTGCTCCGAAGTCGTCGAATTCATACATGGTGGCCTTCATTTACAGGTGACGCATCATCTTTTCCCCCGATTACCTCGGCACAACCTGCGTAAAGCTTCTTTGTTGGTCAAGGAATACTGTGCTGAGCAAGATTTGGTGTATATAGAGCATGGTTTCGTTGAGGGGTGAGTGTATATCTCATCGTAAATATGAAAAAAGTGTGATTGACAGATAGAAACCGACAAGTCTTAGGCGTTTTACAAGAGGTGGCGAGGCAGATTCAATTCCTTCATACGGTTGCGGAGGCCGAGGTCAGTCACAAGCTCCAATGACCGTAGAACGTACAACATAGAGATTCTAGTGAGAGAGATGCTACATCTATCACCGTCGATGACCGTTACCCGCCGAAGGCAGTGAGATTCCCACGGAAGATGAAAAGAACGTCTGAGAATGCTTGGTAAGATGGATGGCGATGCAGATGCTCAAAGCCTGGGCCAATCTTCGGCTTAAGTCGGCTAAACCATCGCTACCTGATTCGCTTTGAGTGGGGGACCACAGGGTTATGAATAAAAGAGAAGATGTAAGGGGGGAGTTTATAGGTTTATGGAATACATTGGGTGCCACGTTGCCACCTACCAACCTGAACCTGAACTGAACATGACGACGTGCCCTTGTCCTATTCTACGTCCTCCTATCCGTATCTCTTCTACTCCACTTCGCATCCCATCCGTAAGCGCAATGTCTTTCTTCAAGAGGAATGATCCCAATGCCCCTGCAGTCCGTCGGGCAGCCGGAGGAGGAGCTTCACCTTCCCCATATGAGCGATTACCCACCGACAATTCGTCGTACTCTTCCCCACCTGCTCAACCTCCGAGACGAGTACCACCTCCTCAAGACTATGCTCAACAGAGCTACAATCAACCCCCTAGGCAGACACCGCAAGTCCCGAGCCGCGGCTATGACCAAGGGGAATATCGGGAGAAGGCGGAATATAGACCGCCTCCACCCCAACAACCCTCCAGGCATCCCCAGCAAGGTGGGATGACCGGTGTATCGACCGGTCTAGGTCGTGGATTGTGAGTTGTTTCTGTTATAGTCTGCTGAGGAAAGATGTTGACATGATTAGATATCATATCGCTCCTTGTCCTTCTGACCCTTTGGCGCTGACAAATCGTCTTGTTGTCAACCCGGGCGATTTCCCACCAGACATCAACTTTGTTATCCTTCGTAACAAATACATTCTCTCCATCATGTAAGTCCCTCAACATCCTCAACCTGATGTTTCTGACATACAGCCGTGATCCTACACGTACACTTCCTTCGAAACATCTCGGACCCTCAAAGATCATTCGTCAATGGATCGGTCTCTCAGCTGTGGGGGAGACGGTCGAGGTCGAGCCATATACCCCTGGCAACGGCGAATATGCCGCTTCGGTCGAGATGGAAGTAGGATTCCGTATCAAACGGAAAGAGACTTCAGATCTGTTCGACACTGAGGATATGGCTCAAGCATTCGTTTCTGCCTTTCCAGATCTTCCCGTTACTCCACTGCAACCGCTTGTATTTGACTACCGTGGACATGATCTGAAAGTCACAGTGAGGACGGTCTCAACTCTGGACGGCTCAGATGGCCACCCTGGTATCATCATGGAAGGCACAGAAGTATTGTGGGTCAAGGATCCTACTAGTGGAATGAAGTTGAAAAATACTTCTAAGAGGTGAGTTGAGCCTACTTGGGCGGACCTGCCGTTGGGCTGACCGTAAAGAGGGCCGACCAATGCTATCCTTGCACCCAATTTCAAGTTTGAAGATATGGGTATCGGTGGTCTCGACACCGAATTTGCAGCCATCTTCCGTAGGGCCTTTGCCAGTCGAATCTTTCCACCAGGTCTGGTTGAGAAACTTGGTATACAACACGTCAAGGGTATTCTACTTTTCGGTCCGCCAGGAACGGGAAAGACACTCATGGCTCGTCAGATCGGTAAGATGTTGAACGCGAGAGAACCGAAAGTTGTGAATGGTCCAGAGATCTTGAATAAATTTGTGGGACAGAGTGAGGAAAATATTCGAAAGCTCTTTGCGGATGCGGAGAAAGAGGTAAGCTCTACCGAAGAAGATCAAATGAAGAGGGTACTGATGAACAGCAAAAAGAGAAGGGAGATGAGAGTGGACTTCATATTATCATTTTTGACGAACTGGACGCTATATGTAAACAACGTGGATCCACAAACAGCGGGACTGGAGTGGGCGACTCGATTGTGAATCAGCTGCTGTCAAAGGTAAGTTGGCGTGCTTGTCTGAAAGCGCCTTGCGATTGATGATATAGATGGACGGTGTGGACCAACTGAACAATGTATTGATCATTGGGATGACCAATCGAATGGATATGATCGATGAGGCTCTCCTACGTCCCGGTCGTCTCGAAGTGCACATTGAAATCTCCCTACCCGACGAGGCGGGTCGTTATCAAATCCTCAACATTCATACGGTCAAAATGCGCACAAACGGTGTGATGGACGGCGACGTTGATCTTGCCAAGCTTGCCTCTTTGACAAAGAACTTTTCAGGCGCTGAAATTGGTGGTTTGGTCAAGAGCGCAACAAGTTTCGCCTTCAATAGACATGTCAAAGTTGGTACCGTGGCAGCTTTCGAGGATGTGGAGAATATCAAGATCACCATGGCTGATTTCGAACATGCTTTGAGCGAAGTCACGCCTGCGTTCGGTGTGGCGGAGGAAGAGCTACAACAAGTAGTGGAGAATGGTATCATACATTATTCCGAGCGAGTCAACGTGAGTCTATCGTTATTTGTTTTCTTTTCCTCTTTGTCTCCCTTGCCTTTTGATTTTTGCTGATATATCAAGGAAATCCTCAAAGATGGCAGTTTGTTAGTGGAACAAGTCCGAAATTCTGACCGCACTCCATTGGTCTGTGCCCTGATCCATGGACCACCAGGAGCGGGGAAAACGGCATTGGCAGCGACCATCGCTATGCAGTCCGATTTCCCATTCATCAAACTCATCTCGCCCGAAACCATGGTGGGATTCTCGGAAGGGCAAAAGATCGCACAGCTCAGCAAGGTGTTTACAGATAGTTACAAGAGTCCTTTAAGTGTCATAGTGGTGGATAGTATCGAAAGGTTGCTCGATTGGAATCCTATAGGACCGAGATTCTCCAACGGTGTTTTACAAGCTTTGGTAGTGTTGTTCGGGAAGAGACCGCCAAAGGTGAGTACATGGATTCTATACTTGTAATCTTTACATTCTTCACCTCCTCGCTTTTGACTGGTCCAACCTCTTCGACTTCGTCATCGTATGACGGATCATGGACCTGTGATCTCCATGTATGTACGATCCTCAAGACACTTTCAAGGGTGCAAACATATCAAAAGTAATCACGAGATAAAGCTGACTTGTGAAGGGCCGCAGACTTCTTATCCTAGCCACCACATCCCATCGATCCATCTTAACAGACATGGACGTGCTTTCCGCTTTTGACACTGACATGTCCATTTCACCCATTACGACATTAGAAGAAGTCGGTCATTGTCTTCGTGAAGTCGGTTTATTCCACAATCAAAACGAGTTGGATAGATGTATGCAAATGCTATCCGAATCGAGGTTTGGTGAAGATGGTCGACCGGAATTGTTAGTGGGAGTCAAGAAGTTACTCAGTATGGCCGAAATGGCTAGACAAGATCCTGATCCGGCTTACAAGTTGGTATCTAGTTTGATCAGGGAGGTGTCGTAGGCGGTCTCAACATATCTCATCCTCTTGTGTGTTTTTCATTCTTCCAATTTGTGTATTTGACAAGACCAATCTTTTGTGTGAATACTGTATCGTCTCGAAGACATGACGGAATTGAAGGAAGAGAAGAACAAGTACAGCAAGTTGAATGAACGAAAGTGAAGATGGAAGTGTTAATCAGTTTGTACGTACAGAATATGAGAACTTGATATCGGTTTGAGAAGACTAAGAAGTTGGAGATATATGGAAGAACAGGCATCAGGATAAGTTAAGAAGACATGATACAAATAAATTGGAACAATGCAACAAATATCACGGACAATGTTATAATTTTAAGTGTTAACGTTTGAAGACTGAGTACAAGTAAATGCATACAACATTTTTTGTTCATACTTCTTCATTATTAACAGGTTGATAACCTTTCGGATTATTTGACATTGCTAATTTACGTCTGTAGCTAGGCCAACCTGTATGTTAAGATACTGCAAAATATGTGTAATGTCAAGATGAGAAGACTGACCTTCTGGTGGGATGGAATATAAATGTGTGTAATCGATTATTTCAGGTTCTAACCAGAAATCTGTGCAATTCTGAGATGAGCCTTTTATTCTGACTTTCCTGACATCCCTTCTTCCGTGATACCACCAATTGTGACGTCCTTAAATGCTTCGCTCCTCCTTTCAATTACGATATCTGCCGCTGATAGAACTGGCCTTGACCGATCTACTCAACATACAAACCACGACTAATTTGATGTGAATTCACACATGTATATATGTATCATGAGATAACTCGAAATCAAGTTTGTGTGTGTGTGTAAGAGAGAAAGAAAGAGAGAAAGCAATATCGACTCACCTTCACCACACCAAGATCAAAAGGATTATGATCCCTTCCTGCTCTCGCCATTCCACTCATAGCTTTCCCTCTTGTAAACCTATCTAATCCTAGGATATGCATAACAGGTCCTGTGAAACCTTTCCATATCATCCCACATAAACCTTTGATTCCTCCGTGTGAATGTGAATGTGTATGTACGTGTGAAGGAGGAGGTGGAAGGTTTAAATTCCCTTCTGGTCCTCCACCCATTGTGGAATCTTGCATACTTTCCAAAGGTCCTATTCCTGCTCCTATAGCTGTTGCTTGTCGCATTGCTCCACTCTGATCACGAAGAGAAGCACCACCTCTACCTCCCATGAAACCGTATCGACCAAGGTTTGAGACTTCTACCGTTGTCATTTGACGAGCGATCTGCCAGAGATGAGAGATGGCGAGGATGGATGTCCAAGTGAGTTGAAGAGTCGCCCAGAGGGAAACGGCGATGAGGAAATTGTCGAATGATGTAGCGCGACAAAAGAAAGGAGAGAGATCACATGTTGAGAACCCTATTGAAGGGGGTGTATATTCTGGAGCGTTTTCTGAGATATCTAGGTTCGTGAGTAATTTGAACGGGCGATGTAAAATAAATCAATCGAGTGGTTGAGAAAGAAAGCAAAGTTAATGGCCAGGCTTTGAGAGGAGGGTATGAGAACAAGAGGGTAAAGAAGAAGAGAGGTGGGACTGGAAATGTTGGAAACACTTACATGCAATTACGAGATGATTGAAGATGAGCACTCCAGTGATGAGAAATAAGATAAATAGGAGGAAGTAACGATGATTTCTATAACCAACTGAAATGTCAGCTTGCTTTTCCCCCGTAGAGTACGACCCGATGACTCACCGCAATTCCAAATCCAAGGACAGTGACTGTCGATTAGCTTCACTGAACAGACAAGAAGGCAAACGCTCACTGATCATATCGAGCCACACAACGATGACACGTTCTACAATGTTTTGATCTTAAAGGTTTTCTTGTCTGACTGTTAGTCCAATCAAGCGATAGATAACTCACCATGCACTCGATACAGAAATTCGTTCCATTCAATCGACCTTCATCTGCCAACTCCTCCAAAGCCTACTTATCAACATTCGCTCTGAGCTATAGATTGAACTGACCATTTTAATCTCTCCATCTGAAGCTGCCTTTGGTACCCAACCTGGATCGGTGACTATGCCTTTGTAAAAGTTATAAACACAAGCGCCGAGAGCGAGTGTGAAACCTAATTGAGCCAAAGCATGTCCTGGTGTTCCTTCTTATCAGTGAATACAAATGAAGAAGATGTGGAACACGCACGGACGGTCAAGCGGGTTACAAATGCGTAAAAGACCCAAACAAGAGATCCGATGATGATCGCGGCGAAATGTGGAGACCCAGAAACCTTCCCTTCTTCAGGTTCATGTGCTAACAAAACCTTCACCACCACCTACGACACTCAGTTGAAAGATCATCGTACGGTTATATCTATCAGACGATTGACAACGAGGAAGGAATGTAGGAAGCGTACTTACGATTTGCATAGACCAAAATTCGGCGACTGCTAAAGGCCAAGCCACATAGCCCGGGAATAATGTGAAAGTCTCAAACAGTAAACCTAACCATATAGTTGGTCCCACGAGCAAAGCTAGTCGAGTGTTACGCTACCCGTTAGTCGTGACAAAGATTGTTGTGAGAGTGAAAGACAAACAGGACTCAGTCGAGATATCCTTCTCATTCCCGTAGACGAATAACCGGCCTCTTCTAAAGCTTTTTGAAACGGTGCTAAACCTTTCAATTCCTCTGCCATATCCCTAGGCGTTTTACCTTGATCTTCCTTCGCTTGTAACTCTGCACCAGCTTCGACGAGATGACGTATGGCCACTTTGCTACCTTTCACTGCGGCCCAGTGGAGGGGTGTCATACCGGCATTATCCCGGGTGTTCACGGATGCCCCATGTCGAATTAGAAGATCGACTGAGATTGCATCGCCTGGATGTGAGCTACAACCCAGAGAACTGCAAGTAAGGAAATCACCTTGATATGCTGCCCACATAAGAGCTGTATGTCCGTCTGAATCTCTTTCATCAATAGCGACGGGTTGATGTAGCTGTGGTCAGTCCTACCCCTCTGCCACCAGCCCACCCGTAACCTCATTGCAAAGTCACACGCTCCTTCAGCAATACACATTGATGTACTTGTTAGACCACGAGACATCGAGAGGAGATATCGCAAGACGAAATGCACGGAAATAACAGGGGAAGTCAGACAGCAGAGAAAACAAGAGGGATTTTTCCGGAAGGAACAGCTCAAACTCACCATATATAACAACGGCATAACACCACTGGAATGAGTTATCAAATGTAAAGTATTGAAACCCTGAGCATCGAACAAATTGGGATCCGCCCCTCTTGACAACAACAAATGTACGACATATAAATGTCCGTTCCTAGCCGCCCATTGTAAAGGTGTAGCTTTCAATTCCCCACCTATCGCATCGACTTCCGCACCATTATCGAGTAACCATCGACATGTACCTATATGAGCGTTGATTGCTGCCCAATGGAGAGGTGTTACGTCTTGTGCATCTCGAGCTGAAAGGTTTATGGAGGGATCTGATTTGTATCGTTCGATAAGTGATTGAGTATCGCCTCTTTGTGCTAAAGCGTGAATGGGGAGCTGTGTGATTAGCAAGTCTATTTTGAGTCACAGCCCACATGGCATCGATTCATGAATATGAATGTAATAAAGACATGAAATAACATGCGGCATGTGCAACACATACGACAATGGTAGGCCCATCTCAGACACAAGGATGTCATCTCATCAGAACGTTTTGAAAGGGTCAGCTAGTCAATGTTGCATGTGTTGGGAGAGGGAAGGCGGTTGTTGTTAGATGAGATAGCAAAGTCTGACTCACTTCAGCTGGAGAGAAAACCTCAGAAGGTTCAGGTTCATATTGCGTCTTGACACCAATCTCTGAACTCGTACGTTCCCTCTCTATCCGATCATGTTCCCCATCGCTCAGTGGGTCCAATGTGGGTGAAGTCTTGAGTGGTGATGCCGCACCGACGGATGGAGCTGCCATGACTTGTGTTTCTATATCTCTCAATCGTCTATACCGATCCAAAAGATAACCTTTTGAACACCGGGAGGAGGACGCAAGAGTCAGAAGTTGAGGTTGTCAAGGTGACTAAAGTGGATGTATGTTGGGAACAAGGGAGTCGGAAGGCGATGATGACTTGGCCACGTGGCACCACATTCCTTCGACATCGGTTCAAGATCATGGCAAAACTTATGCATATGCTGGAAGGGGAGAGATCTGAGTACAACAGGTACATACGAAATATCAATGCTAAGGTCATGGCGAGTTGTAGTTCGCAAGAATATGTGGTCATAGATCCCTCACACTCTTCTCCACCACTTCCTTCTCGCCGTCCCCTCCCGCCGCGCGCTGCAGTCTTTCCAACGTCTTCTCTAAATCCCCCCTGTCTTCTCCTAGTCCCAGTTCAATAGCCAGAGCTTCAACCGATAAAGGTTCCTGATTCCACTGAGGGACCTCGGGTGTAGTTTCGTGTGCATCTTTTGTGGTGATTTCCTCGAACAACGGTCGAATGAATGATTCCGACCTCATATGGATAATCCTCCGTATCAGGGCTCTCAGTATTTCAATCTCCTTATATTTCGTCTCATGTGGTCGACCTTCATCATAGAGTAGTCTAAAGGTATCTTCCAGCTTCCTCAGCAGAGGGATCTGAAGTGAGTTGGCGGTAGCCATCAATAACGTTCTGACAGCATCTTCTCATCAGCTCAACATACCGATGAGCCCCAGTCTAACTGACCATGATATCTACCCGATAGATTGTAAGCATCCGCAGCTATTTCGGCAGCCCCCGACCATGTTCTCCACTGTCCGTCAGTACATGCATACAACCATGAGGAGAAACATACCAGACTTCTGGTCGAATCTGCCAATTGAATGGCATGTTCCGTATCACCGATAAATATGGCACACCGGATGCCAATATCGACCAATTCTCGAGATATCCCTCCTAGACTCTTCGCACCGGGATCAAAGACGTCTAATATGAGCCGTAGAGCTTGTTGGTATTCCGGAGGTGAAGAGTAATATAACGCGGTGGTGAGGTATTCTCCAAGATCAGCTTCTGATCTTATTGAAGAAAAACACTTCGTGCACCTAATTGTTGTCGGTCAATTTTCTGACGAGCTGGTGCCCGAGCAAGTCGCTGGTCTGAGTCAAGTACCCACTACTCTTCAGCTCACACATTTTGGAGAGGTGAGAAAGAGGTAGACATACTCGTCGTTCTGTGAAGGCATGTTCGGTTTTGTACTCCAATTTCGACCTCTTCACCGCTTCAGCTATCCGACGTTCCCTCGCCGCTACCTTCTCCGGGTCTCTCTCGTTGTTTCCTCTTGACGTCGATCCGATATCTTCGGTAGCGATAGAAAACACCACTGTTTGTGCATCATCAGTAGCGGCGACGATGGCGTAGTTGTCAGAGGTGACTTGTAATGTCATGATACGATATCAGGAATGTTTAAGAGGGAAGAAAGGACGGAAGCATTCCTTGTTCGATCGAGGACGACTAACCTTTGTAACCGTCATCCTTCGCTTTCACACCGTAACTCTATCCATACGACCATCACTGTTATAGAGGGGGCAGGCAACGCCGGTCTCTATACGGTACAACGGTACCGGCCATTGGCCATCGGGGCTGTGAAGATGATCGACATGACCCCTCCATCCGACTTGGATCCGTCACGATGTAGGCTTCTGGGACCCACCGCACTCGTCGTTCAGGCTTTGAGTAAGCCACCTTTTCTGTCATCATCTTTTCTCAGTTCCCCAGATGCACGGTGAATTTACGAGCTGACTCTGCAGTGGGAGTACTGGTCATCACTTCTTTGGTTATCAAACGTCAATTGGAGAAGAAAAGAAGACCATGGAGAATTTGGACATGGGATGTGGGAAAACAGCTCGTTGGACAAGGTGTCATACATCTTCTTAACCTTTTGGTGAGTCATCAACCCATCTCATCTATCACCACCAGCTACCAAGGTACTGAACTTAAATGCAAAGAGAAGGTATATGGCTCATGTCGCAGATATCTGACGTTGTCGCTCATGCCGCTCACAACAACCCTTGTTCACTATACTTCCTTAACGTATTGATCGACACCACAGTCGGTGAGTTTATGGCTACTAGCTTTGACTAAGCTGACGTGTAAGGTGTGGCTATCTTTTACTTTGCCTTGAAAGGTCTGACTTGGTTTATCACCCAACGTCTGGGGTTGGAGGGGTTTCAGAGTGGCAAATATGGGAATCCACCCAAACCTCGATTGTACGTCTTTTCCCTTTCCTCTGACCTTTTCCCTTCTCACAACATTATCTCCTCTATTTCGTGACCTTGCAGTCTATTTCTAGTCATTGATCGAGTATCAAACTCAGTTTTTAGCATGTCAGGTATCGCGATGGAGCTGTGAAAGGAGAAAATCAGGCTCATGTTTTCAGCTGGTGGCAGCAACTCATCCCCTATCTCATCTCTATCATCCTCATGAAACTTCTCGTACTTCTTCCCCTCACCTTACCTGGTATCTCCCCATTGATTATCCGTCTAGGACACGACCTCCTAGCCTATCTCAACCCCGACGCTCAAGTCATATTCGTCATGGCCATCTTTCCCCTCATCATGAACATTCTCCAATTCTGTCTAGTTGATCAAGTCATCAAAGCTGGTCAATCTGACGAAACCCCATCTTCCGACGACTATCAACCTCTTCCCACTGATCAAAACCATGAACCAGATATCGAATCACAATCTAGTGATTTACGTCGTCAAATCACTGATACACCAGGTATGGCTACAAGTCATTCCACTCGTACTTCTTCCATGCCACCTACACCTCTTGCACCGAATTCTCCTTTACTCTCAGCGGTTGACGATGCGAGAAAAGGTGGATATGGAAGTACGAATCCATCACCTAGACATAGTTTATCGAACGAAGCTGGAGATTCTTTCTGGGCCAAATTTCTTCGGAGAGAATCCCAATTTGATGAATACGATCGAGCGAGGGATAAACGTTCCGATGCGCCTTCACCTGATTCTTTCAGACCATTGGAACTACCACCAGACGAGCCGGAGACATTGGTTTCACCAAAGGAGTTTATGGCCATGACGGGGTCAGGTCTGAGTGATGAGGTGCAGAGAGAGGCGAGACAAAGTTTGAGTCCGAAGTTGACGCAAGATGTTCGATGGGGAGCGGCGGAAGAGTCATCGGTTTCTCTGGAAGAGAGAAATGGGTAAAGGTAAAGTATGTTGTATGGTTTTGAGCATGTTGGGTGTATGCATTATCAATGTTTTCACTTCTCCCTTGATCCGACACTAGCTCTGGATGACATTTTGACTTGTACTCATGCTTTGGAGCTGTTATACTGGTGTAAGTGCATAAGATAAGTACGTGTTCTATGTAAGCTTAAGCACTTGCATGTCAATACCGGAATCAAATGTTTGTATACCCTCGTGCACAAAGGAGTTAGTTACTACTTCCCCATGGTACATACATACATCATCTCTTTATTATAAACCCCCATAATTCAGACAATCAACGGGCAACGGGGCAATAATCATAAACGTGCTCCATGTCTCGTACACATCTCGGGCAAGTTTCTTCAACTACTTCAACTTCTATCCATTTTTCAATCATATCATCAATCCATCACTTTGAATAACCTTTAGGGGTATCATCCCCCTCCCTCCACCTTCCCTTCAAGTCTTCTCACACCTTTCAAAGTCATACAACACGAATTGAAAGAAAAACATCTTGATGAATCGAACATCATGCAATCTCAAAATGAACCAGGAGGGAATAATAATTCAAGTCGAAATGATTTATTCGATTTATCATGGAAACCAGATGTACCTCCTCCGAAACCACTCCCAAATATTTCCACACCCAATCTTTCACAACCTCCTACACCTGGGAATAAGGGGAGTATAAGTAGTATAAGATCTTTAAGGGATAAAGCTAGATGGAGAGGATTAGAACAAGATGATTTCGGATTGGTTTTTCCTAAAGAATCAAATTCACCTCGCCAGCCACCTATTTTGACTTCTTCAACTTCTTCAAATCTTCCTCATACTTCTCCTTCTACTCCTTTTGTCTCAACAATTCCTTCTTCATCTTCATCTTTTCTTCCTTCACTCTCTCAGACCAACGTTCTTCCAACTTATTCATCCGATTTTACCCCTACTTCGACTCTTGATCTCACTAGTACTCCTTCTTTTCCCTCCTTTTCAAACACAGATACAAATGGACAAGCTCAATCAGATTTAGGAATCGGATCATCATCATCATCAACAACAACGACAAACCTAAACCTAAACCTATCTTCAACTACATTACTTCACAAACAATCAACAGAATCTAATTCACAAATCAATTATTCTAGTGGTTCACCTCGTACTTCATCTTTCTTTGACGTTTCTTCTTCATTCCCTTCTCCTCTTCCATCACCTTTGATCCTTTCTCGCGCATCTAGCTCAAGTACCAACAATATCAATACCAATAACAATTCACTTCGATCAGATCGTCGTGAGCCTCCACCGGCTCTTTCACCATTACATCAAAGTCCTACTTTACCCGGTGGAGGACCAGGATGGCAACCCCCAAGACCAAAAGGAAGTGAAAATGTTAAATTGAGGTTGATCAATAATCCGAGTTATTTGTTAGGTGAAGGAAGATATGCTTCTGTTTTTTTGGCTTCTTATTCAAGAGTGAACAAGTCGGATCCTCTCGTCAGGAGAAGCAAGGAGAGGTTGACGTTCAATGGGCGTGTGAATGAAAAGCAAGAGAATGGGAAAGGAGCAAATCTCGAAAATGGTCAAACCCCACAAGAGACAAGAGACGGAACGGTGGATCTAAGCCCAAACAAAGATTCAGATACGGGCGTGGAGATAAGAAAACCGACGGAGAAAGAAGAAGAAAAAGAAAGAGAAATAAATCCTTCTGGTGATGGATATATAGGAGGTAAATGGAAACTATGCGCAGCCAAGATTCTTTCCCCCGATAGAGAATCTCAAACTATGGGATTAAGAGAAGCTTTCTTCTTGAGTCGTCTTACCGCTGAAACTTCCCCTTCAACAACATCTAGGAAATTAGGAAATGGTATACGTGCTTCATCACCATTAAGAAGTCGATTTTCATCTTCTATCTCTTCCACTCCTTCAACACCGGGAACTCCTGGAACTCCTTCAACACCAGACATTACAAAATCTACTTCCAGTCCTTTTGACACGTTAGGAATACCGGGATTACCTAAAGTCTCTCAATCACTTCGATTGAATGATCCAGGTGATCACTCATCACACGAGGAGACCATTCATGGGAGGACAAGTCATATCAATGGGGAAAAGGAGGTTGATAACACGCATCAATTTGAGAATCCTAACAAATGGAAATCTCCAGATAAAGGTAAAGTATACATAATCAAACTTCTCGCTGTAAAAGAAGATCAAGAAACAAAACAACGTCCAGATAAAGTACACGGTAGATCAACTTCTGATATGATCGATCTTTCACGTTCTCCTTCAAGACATCGAGCTACGACTCTTCAACGTGGTGATCCACGAGATCCTAGATTGTTGAGATTAGAAGGAGATAATGGATTATCTTCTTCACCTTCCATGCCTAGTTTAGCGGATGCAGCGAGGAATCAAACCGGTCATACACCTGCAAGATTGGTTTTGTTATTGGAATATGCCAGTTTGGGTACTTTGGATAGGTTGTTGAGGACAAGTCCGGATTTGGTAGGGAGACAATTATGGGAAAGATGGGCTAGACAAGGTGCGGAAGCTTTGGAATGGGTTCATGGGAAAGGTGTTGCTCATGCTGATGTCAAGCCTGGGAATATTTTGGTGGGTTTTGTCTTCTCATATTCCGTCTACATAGAGTATTGGTTGATTGCTGGATTCTGAGTCCCGGCAGTATATGCGGACCGAGGTTTAAAGTGAACAATTACTGACTCAATTAGCTCACCTCCGCCCTTGACATCCGTCTTTCAGACTTTGGTTCTTCCCTACTCATTCATCCTTCCCATCCACCTACCGACGGTCTGGGTCTTGGCACCTTACCATTCTCCCCACCTGAACTTGTCGATCCTTCCGAATCATTTTCCTTCCCCGTCGATATTTTCGCTTTCGGTGCTACCCTCTACCAATGTCTCACAGGTCGTGAACCTTATCGTGGGATGCGATCTGTGGAGATGATGCATCACGTTCGTCAAGGTGATTTATGGGTATGGGAAGAACGTACTCGATTAGGACTTGAAACTTCTCATGGACCAGGGATTTCACCATATCCTTCAGCATGGAGAACAGAAGTGGAAAGTGGAGGTATAAAACGTGCAGGTTCATTACGACTTCCAAAAGGACGTAATCCAGTAAATCTCAATAATATCTTAAACGTTGATGCTGTGGTCTTTGGGAGACCTAAATTATCTAGGATGTCTTCAGCCGAATCTCTTCGAGCGAGTGAAGATGTTGTTGATAGTCAAAGAAGTTCAGATTCACCTGGAGGTTTAAAATCTTGGACTAATTGGATTAAAAATTCTTCTATCTCATCTTCTTCATCAACATCATCTTCAGATCCAATCGATTTATTACTTGTTGAAACGGATGATATATCGATTCCTACCACTCCTACTTCAACTAGTAAACCTGTATCACGTAAAACTTCACTTCGTGCTCCTCAATCTAGACGTACTACGATGTCTTCACCATTAGCACACGCCCCATCACCGGATTTACCCCAAGGAGAAGTGAATGAACCTTATGAGGATGGAAGTCCAAGTATGCCATTTTTGAATGGAGAAGAACGTGTTTCGGAAGAAGTGAGACAAATGTTGAAAGAGATGTTATCACCCCGAGCGGGGCATAGACCCAGTGCAGAGGAAGTAGTAAGAAGATGGGAAGAATTGGGAGTGGGTGAAGAATGAGTTTTGAAATTTTGGAGTGGAGTTGGGTTATCGAGGTTTATCATATTGATCATATAATTGAGTTGTATTGATATATCTTCAAGTTGGAAAGAATAAAAATACCTGTATTTGTCATAGGATACGTTGTGATCTTTTATATGTATGACCATGGGTAATGGGAAGTTCCAACGGTAGACGATCCTGATGTGGTGGTATTATGGTAGGAGTACGATGAAGTCGACAGTACATGCAGTACAGTAAGGTTAAAAGCCGAAGATGTCATCCATGACATCACGTTTTCGTTTCTTCTTTGTGGTTGACTTCATTGAGGGTGAACCGACAGCTTCTTTTATTTGTACTTGGACGTTGGTCTGGTGATTGTCTTCCGTGAGATCATTTGAAAATGGTCTTTCTCCGACCATGATGGTATCTATCACCGTCTCTTTCTCCTCTTTCCTGTCTGCCTCTGTTCGTATCATTTTTGATAGAGGAACAACGTTGATAGATGATGAGACTTGTCGTTCAATCTTCTCTCCAACATCTTGAACACCCAAATCGGTATATGTCTCCACTTCCATCACCTGAGATTTACGATCAACCTCTGTGGTTGGAATGTTTGTAAGGAGTTGTGGACTTAACCAGATATCTATACTAGTACAAATGGTGAAAAGTCTAGCGTACATCGATATTAAGACAGTGTGGAGTGGAAGGAAATATCGGAGTTGAACGATTTGTTGACTTGATTGCGTCGCTGTGAACAAGGCTTGAATTAGCTGTATGTCAGGATACTTCATCTCATGGATTTCAATCTTTCTCATACGCTCTATTAGATACATTCCCCATTTCTTCGGCGCTCATCATTTACGCGGCTTGAACGACGTTTTGGAATTGTGGCGCGGATGATAATTGGGGAATGATGTAAAAGCAAGATCGGAAGATAACTCACCTTATCTATCAAAATCTTCAAATGTTGTAGATCTTTTGATATCTTGTCATCTGACCGCTTGTCAGGAGTACCAAAAGGTGAAGCGACATGATATATGTTATTTGGGCTAACCCTAGATGGGAGATGTTGATCCTGCTTGAGAGTTGAAGAGGATGAAGTTTGTGAGGGGAGACGGTCGAGTAAAGAGTACAGAACGAGTTTCGAATAACGTCGAACGGCCAAAAGTCTAGAAAAGAAGATTTGAGATTTATGTTGATCTTTTGATTTTCGAATTAAAGTGTCAAGTAGAATGTATTCTGTTTGTAAAAGTGTCAGAATGGACGGAGGGAATTCTTTTGAGATTTTGCGAAAGTCCATTTCAGACATGGTGTTGAATGGGTTTTTTTGGAGTGATCAAGGTGTGGAAGAGAATTTGTCGTGATAGTACAGTACTCGTACTATGTAGTCTGACCCCTTGATGACTTGAAACAGGACAGAGTGTAGTTGATAATTTATTCTGATGGCCTGATGGTCGGTACATGCGGTACAAGAGTGAAACTCTTTATTTTTTTTGTTCGGGGATGACTTTGAGACGTTTTTTTAACTTACCCCTCTTGATCACCAAAGTTTGTCATCGACTCGTTCCATGTTCCACCTCTCTTTTCCATCATTCCACATAGGTAAATCACCACCCACTCACCACCTTGACAAAGTCAGTTGAAGGTAACAATCACCAAGTGATAAGAACAAGAAGGTTAAGTAGTGATTGAGTTTGTGTTTGTGCGTTTTGATACTTGTTCGAGCCAAGGAAGGAAGGTGAGAGAGGCAAAGGCAAAGGACTGTGCTTTGAAATCCCTGTACATGACAACCCCCTACATCACACAGAAACATGGACAGTTAGTTATCTTTACTCTTCCACGTCTTCAGAGATATTATTATTCATATAGCTGACTCTTTCCTCCTCACAGTCACCACCAACCACATTCCAAACTCTTCCACCTTTCGTCGTCTACCCGCATTAGCAAAATCACCTTTAAACTTTAGACGCGACAAATCTTCTTTACCTCCTCTTCCTCCATCTGAAATACCTACAACTACTCGTCCACCGGAACCGACCACTTCTCCTAAATCTTCAGAAACACTATATACCTCTTCTCAAACGAAAGCTTCCACATTCCCTTCTTTATCTCGTTTGGTCGGGGAATCTTCATCGTCCCATAAGAACGGGACAGGGAAACAGGGGATGATGGATGTTTCAACATCTACTACAACAACACCTTCATCAAGTTCTCATCCGACTTTATCACATTCAAATTCTGCTCATTCACATTTACCTTCAAGAACTTCTTCATTACAAAACCCAAATTCACAATTTGTTACCAACGGAAATTTGACGTCTGAAAAATTGGAACAACCACCTTTATCACCCTTTCCAAATCGATCAGCGGCGCATCTGATGCAAGTTCAATATCAACCTCCCTTACCTTCCAGCCCGCATACCCGACGAGATGGCTTAGAAGGAGGTACGAATTCACCTCGAAATCGAGATTTACCATCAAATCAACAAATAGCCTCAAACGGTCGTACATCTGCTCAAGTTTCTCCTGTGGGGATGACAATGGTTTCAGGAAAATACGAATCTCCTCCTGGTGGACTTTCCAATAGTAATGTCAGTAGAAGAAAAGAAAGTATGCCTAATATCTTCAGTCCTATAGCTCAACATCAAATGGAAGGTGTCATTCCTCCTTCGGGTATGGAAACTCAGATACCTAGTTTAGGTTCGGCTATGGGAGGTAGTTCAAGGAGATTAATGGATCAAAGTCAACAAGCTTTACCTAGTCCTCCTGTTGATCAGGGAATACGAAGAAGACAAGGTCCACCCCTTAATCCTCATACAAATGGAGAAGATAATCATTCACGTTCTGAGGATAGTTGGACACCTACGGAAAAACCTTCATTACGGAGAGATAATCCTACACCTCCTTCTGCGACCGAAAAAGATAGAGAAAAGGGTAGAAGCCTTGAATTGGATAGAACTAAGGATAAAGATAGAGAAAGACATGCCAGACACGCGAAATCTACTTCGAAATTATTCGACAAATCCTCACCTCTTTCACCTATCCTTCCTAACGCTAAAATATCTAGAGCACCACCTTCCAGCATGTATTATTCTCCCGTCCCCGCACACGGTAGACCTCCAGGACAAGCACTCAGAGCTCATACGGGTACATTGGTGGGAGATAGGATTTGGTTCTTGGGAGGAGTTGATGGGAAACATTGCTGGAGAGGTGTGGCGTGGTTTGATACGGAGACTTTTCAATGGAGTAATGTGCAGACAAAAGGGGAGACGATGCCTCCTCTTCGAGCACATACGACGACTTTGGTGGGTGATACGACGTTGTATATCTTTGGAGGAGGAGATGGACCTGTGTATTCGAATGATGTTTGGATATTTGGTACTGGTGGGTTGTTCGTTCACACCAATCTTCAGTGTCCATCTGAACTCCCTACTTACTCGCGATGTGACACCTGAATCTTGGCTTGTGATGATCAACGTTGTTCGCTGTGGCACTCCATCGTACTAGGAAACGAGCGTCAGTGTAAGGAGGGAATATGAAGGTCATACTGACTTTTCAGCAACTCATCGATTTTCCCGACCTAATGTCGTCACTCCTAAAGCAGCCTTACCTCCACCCCGCAGAGCACACACCACCGTCCTATATCGTAATTACCTCGTCGTATTCGGGGGTGGGAACGGTCAAGCAGCACTGAACGATGTTTGGGCGTTGGACGTTTCGGATCCTTCAAGGTTGAGTTGGCAAGAATGGAGAACTAAAGGGGATGTACCTCAGAAAAAGGGGTATCACACTGCGAATCTGGTAGGAGACAGGATGATTGTGGTTGGGGGAAGTGATGGTCATGCTAGTTTTGCCGATGTGCATATACTCAATCTTCGTGAGTTTGAGGTGATACACGATGATACCTCACACCCTCTTCTTTCTCTGTCAAATGTCGCCTTATCCATCAGCATAGGAACTCCGGAGGGTAGACCGGAAAGTATGTGTAAATTGACCATCAGAAACCCTTGTTTGGACATTAGTACCAACTGAAATCAAACATAATCGTCTTTCTCATACATCAACAGCAGTCGGTTCATACCTTGTATGTTGGGGAGGACACGATGGTAAATCGTATGCTCAAGATGTTCTTTTGTTGAATTTAGGTGAATTTCTATCAGTCTCCTACCTCCTACCTCCTACCTCCTACCTCCTGACTCCTTCGTCATTCGCAATTGTGCTTACCTCCGCCATAGTGTCAATGAGAATGATGTCAACGTGATTCGACGACTTTGTATGAAGAATGAAGCTAACGTCGTCGTAGTCACACTACAATGGGAATCCAAAGTCCCTAGAGGATTAGCACCACCAGGAAGAGGTTATCACGTTGCGTTACTTCACGACGCTAGGATATTCATTTCAGGGGGGTATAACGGTGTGGCTGTATTTGATGATTTATGGGTATTGGATTTGAGTGCTGGGGCGTATTTACCTCAAGTGGTGAGTTATTTTACTTTGTTTCAACTTGTTACACATCACTCAAAAAAATTTCAACACTCACCTTGATCCCTTCAACACTTTAACACTTTAACACCTCCGTATGACTCGTATGACTTCCTGCAAACTCCGCCATCTTCCGTAGTCTTACGGAGACATCTTCATCATCGTACACACTCACGTATCCAAAACTCGAATGGCATGAAAAGTTTAAGGTTCAAATTCAAGTCAAATTGAATTCTTGAAGTGATTGAACCCAAGTTAGATATATGGGATATAGGATGAGGAGCTGATTGAAGACAACGTTTCAAGTGGAAGAACGACCAGATCGTCGGACCGAAAATGGTTTCACTAGGATTTAATCTTTCAAAACCATTATTGGTTTCTCCACTATCACTGTCTTACCCCCCATTCTTTCACTGTCTTTCCATTTTGTATCACTATTTTTTGTCTGATACAGATGAACCTATCCTCTCTCTCTCTCTCTCTCTATCACGTATGCCTCCCATGTCAACATACTTATCTCACGTATGTCTCCCAGAGATAGAGTTGTCAACATACGACAAGTGAAACACAACACCATCAACGAGATGAATCCGATCCTATAGCGATAAATCACGGATAGACGGTGATAAGTCGAAGGTTAAAACCACGCCAGAGTAATGAAGCAGGGAAGGGAGAGAAACATGTTCACATTCATTCTTGTCAGCCAAGAAAGATGAAAATACACGATTAGAATACACTATGATATAATTCACAGAATCCAAAGGACAGTTACATGTACCCCTCAAAAACAAGTCTTGATTTCATCTTGAGAATTGACGACACGACTATGACGCATAACATGATGGTGTGGATACAGTACATGATTTGTAGATGGGGTAAGTAAAGTAGATATGCATGCATGATGCTGGCGTCATCCAAATTGTTCGTTTCTCAGTCTCTTTCATTGCTAATTACGACATGTTCTACGAGTATGAGTATGAGTACGAGTTATGGGTTAACCCTTGGTTTTGAATAAATCAAGAGACGATACTGTACAAAGTAATAGAGTTGTTTAACATATGTAGAGTACACGTACGGCTGAACCGTCTCTTGAGCTATGAGAGGAGAACTTCCAGGGAGGCGAGTGAGTTGAAGATAAAGATGAAGAAAAGGAAATGAAAGGAAAGAAGAAGATGATTAACCAAATCAAAGATTTTGAAAGAGAAAGAACCAAATAGAAATCCATAGTCATGTCGTAAATTAAAATTACATATCCATGCACTTTATGTCAACAAAATCTAGTGTAAATTTTGGAAAAGAAAATCCCATCCTATCACTATGCCATCCATAATGCTAAAGCATCATCTTTGTTCTTACTCCAAACAAAACGGATCATTATCGGTAACGCTGCCAAGTCTCGTCGGCACATAGGACAAGAGGCAATGTTTGGTTGAGAGAACCATGTCTGATTATCAGTTCGGGAGACTTTATCATGCTAGAAGTATACGGGAGACAAAACAATACCAAAAGAGGAGATACAGAAAGGATTTGTCTAATCGGAGAGGGTAGGTGACAGACGAGAAGAGTGAGTGAGTGAGTTAGACTGGACGATCTGAAAGAAAGGCGCAGTCGAGTCGATGAGAAATAGAAACACTACTCACATCTAAACATTCTTGATGATACATATGTTTGCAAGGTGTAACACCTATCAGACTGTCGGGTTCGTACTGACATCAGCTTGGTTCATCAAAACAATTTAATTACTAGTCTTCCTTCAACATGTGACGGTAGCCATATGAAAGTAGAAGATGGTGACCACCGCTTCACCCTACACAAAGACCGCTCACTGACATACACCTCAACTAAAGGGGAAACGCGGCAAAGAAGAGGTCTATGCCATGTTGTAAGGATATGTCTATGCAATGTTGTAAGGATATGAGAAGGAGAAGGAAGTGGTAGGAGAAGCAAAAGAAATTTCCCAACTCACCTCATCATGACACACCGAACACGTCAAATCCTTAACCATACCCTTCTCTTCCGGCTCCACTTCATCCCACAACTTAGTCTCAATGACTTTAGCCACCAAAGCCTTCTTCGAGCTCGAAGGTAATTTACTGGTTTGTTTCTTGATCATAGCTATAACTTCTCTCCTCTGTTCATCCGTCATATCCTCTTTGATCTGTAACATCTTCTCCAACTTCATCCTCACTGCCGCCGCTCTTCCCGATCCAATCCCCATACCTCCTCCTGATCCCATCCCTTGACCTGATCCGGGGGTAGAATCGAGAGCAGCCACGCCCAACGGAGTGACATGCAACCCCGTCGCTCTACCTGTGGCAGGACCGGCTAATTCAGCGATATCGGCGAAAGACATAGCTGTAGCAGCGGCAACACCACCGTCTTCCATTTCACCGACCAAAGGCATGCCCATATCCTCCACATCGATGAGTCGGCGTAGAAGTGAGGTGCGTTCTTGACGATCTTGATAATCGAAATTGGGACGGTCGGCATCATATGGACCAGGATGGGCTTCACGAGACATACGTTCAAACAACCCAAACACTCGTGAAAACGATGCCATCTCTCCCGCTCGACCATCAGGACGTCCTTGCACTTCGCCCCAGCGGGGTTCTTCGTTTGGAGTGAAAGTACGATGGAACCCCCTTCGGCCGGGATGAGAAGGCATTGGATTGTTACCATGATCAGGGACAAAGCGACGACCGATAGCTTCGTTGACAGTCCGATTCCAAATACCAATGTCATCCGCTTCGGCATCCGGAGGCATTTCATATACCGATGATCCAGCGTCGTTACTTGAAAGGCTAATGTCGTCAATGTCCATCGGGGTGCCCCCGCGGGATGAAGCATTTGCGATGGCAGATAATGCGGGCTGTTCCCAGAGTCTCGCTGGACGTGGGAAATCTTCCCTTTCGTATACGGGACGATTGTGCCAGTCCCCTCCTGGGTTTGAAAATACATGAGCATCGGCGGCCAACAGGTTCTCCCCCGAAGTCCGAAGTGCATCCAGTTCCGAAAGTCGATCGCGATGTCGGCCCGAACGCATGGCGGTACCGATACTGGTCGAGCGACGCAGCGGTAGATGATCTTGTGTTTGACCTTGCTGGACGTTCGCCTGCGGTCCAGGTTGAGCATACGCACCGCCAAGTGCATGGTGATTCCAGCTCCACGGGTTGTATGGAGTTGCCGGTTCGCGCGGGGGTGGGACAGTGACGGAATTGGGTAAAGGGATGGAAGGAAACCCGAGATTCGGTTGACCCCAATTAGGCAAGTCATTCGGGATTTCACGTTGCGTCTGATATCTATATGCGAAGAGAGGTGGCGGGGTGATGTTTCCTCGTGGCTCGGCAGTCCTCGAGACGTCACTGAGAAGATTATCGAAACGTCGAGCAGCTGCATTACGAGAGAGACTGCTTGATTGTCTAGATGTCGAAGATGGTCTGGCATCAGGGAGAAGACGGGAGACGTCGAATTCTTGTAAACGAGAGCGTATACGATCTGATGAGCCCTGGGGTGAAGTGGGGTTCTGACGATGTTGATCTGCCCGACGTCGAATAGGTCCAACTTCTGATGGTTGTTCTGATGGTCGCATGTCCGATTGGGGAGTTTGGGATTGAAAAATCCGAGGGATAGGGCGTGAGGTGGCAGCGGCTGGACGCGAGGGTGCATTGAGGGGATTATGTTCAAAGTTTATGTCATCGACGAAATCGTACCGAGGTCGATGAGCTGTAGGCGTACGTCGTGGGGGATCATAGCCCAATTCGTTGAATACACTGCCATGTTGTAGTACGCGATCTAAGCGGGCCAAATGAGGAGGGTCTAGCTCGTTTGATGGGAAAAGAGAATCTTGTCGGCAGACTCTCATTGGGGGTAGGTGAAGTATCGAGGGGGTATCTTGTATTCCTGGGTTGACAACAGAAGGAGAAAACGCTCTAGCAGTTGTAGATGGGTTATGAGAATGAGGACAGATATTTCGAGAACTGGAAGCTGCATTTAGCGGCATCACGGGTATTTCTTCAGACGATATAAATTCTCTAGGTGAATGGTCAACAGGGTTGTGACCTGCTCTTGGTGAAAGTCCTTGAGGAGTGTTAGATTCTTGAGGTGAATATCCTAATAAATCGGCGGAATGAGGAAAAGGTTTGATACCTGTCGAACTTGAAGTAGAAGCGGTGAAAGTTGGCCTCGATGTAGCGGGAGTAAGAAGCGATAAAGTTGTGGCTGTCGTACGCCCCGCTGTGAGAGGAGGTGGGGATGGGCGTAAGGTGGCAGATATTAGACTGGTTCCAGATCCATCTGAAGTTGCAGGTGATCCGATTCTCGGAATGGGTATAGAGCTTGAGGGTTGTCGTGGGGGTACGAGAGATGGAGATGATCCCGAGGAAACTTCGCCGTAGGTGAGAAAAGGGTTATGATCCGGTTCTTCTAAAGGTCTATGAGGCACGTGGTTTGAGTGATGGATAATGATGGGTGGGGGCGGCATGATTGAGGGTCAGTCTTTCAGACTTCTGAAAGACCAAAGGCGAATGACAGGATACAGCTTGAATGTATAAAGTTGTAAATCGAAGTGGACCGGTGGCGAGGGGTCTGCCATCAGTCAAGAGTTTTTATGGTCATCAGTCAGGGTCTTGAGTCATGACCCGTTTCAACGGTCGTGATGTTCTACCGGATGGCAGTGGTGGTAAAACGGCGAGGGGACCGATGAACAGTTGGTTTCATATCCTGTTAAGCATCGCCACCGCTCCGCTCGCCGATGGGAAGGTGAAAGGAAGGCGACCGATGGATGTTAGTAGAAGGGGGGAACGACGTCGGTCGAAGGCCACAAGGCCACACAGGTTTGGGTTTGAGTGAGGGGTAAGCAAGTGAGGGTAGGGAAGGTAAAGAAGGAAGAAGATTTACTCACCAGAAGCTGGACGACCGAGCGGGAGGGGGGGGGGATGATGACAAAGGTGAGGGATGGTCGGGTGGAGCGAGTGGTGGCAAGGATGAGAAAGAGGATAAAGTTGGGAATAGAAAGGTGAGGATGAAGTGTAAGAGAGGAATGGACGAGTAGCTCTAGTAGGGTGTGAGATGAAGGGTGGGATGAGTGAGTGGCCAGTGGGGAGGGTGAGAGAGGTCAGGCAAAGGGTGAAACCCAAGTCAAAGTGATCCAAGTCGTCGCTCGGTCAAAGGGTTATTCTATCCGAACAAACCCTCTTTCTTCCTCCGTTCGGATAGGGCGTTTTGATGACAGACGAAGGCTTCTTGTGTGGGGTGGGGAGTGAGATGGTAAGATGATCCAGAGTATACACCGAGTATTGAGTAGTGATGGAGAGTACTCTATATGAAAGAGTGATGAGAAAAGATATCCCATCCATCCCACCTCGGCCCGGGAGATAAAGAAGCTCGGGCTCATTCTCCGAAGCCTTTAATCGCACAAGTGACTTTATTGTCATACACAATCCTCTTCGGGTCATTTACATACATGCAATGCCATAACTAGTCACTACTCCCAATCCATACATATATCCCACTATCAACATGGAATGTAATCATTAATCCGATCCCTAGCATCTTGAGCTATACATTCTGCTATCCAAGTCAAATTCCTAACTTCTTGTTCTTTTAGCTTTACAAAGCTATAAAACACGGCATATTGGAATTGCTGTAAAAAGCTCATCTTATTCAATTCCACATCGTGTTTGAAAAATTCATCTTCCAAACTATTCCCACTTTCCCCTTCATCACCTCCATTCCCATAACTACCCGAACCTGCTTTTTCGAAGAATGTCTTGTATTCCGCTATATGATCCACAGCAGCTATCACTGCGTCCAGATCTTCCGCTCTTGCTAATGCGTTATTTCCTTCTGGATATAAACGACCTATAGTGGGAAATAATTTGGCTCTTTGATCTTTACTCAATTCGGTACCGAAGGAATTAATGGTGATATTGAGCGATCGACGATCTGCTTCAAAAGCAAGGATACGTGACATGACTTGGTTTGTTGGTGATGGTAATGTTTGACAGAACGAATGAAAATCTTCTAAATATGCTTTGTATAAAGAATTTCGTATGATTTCAATATTCAAATCGTCTAGATCTTGAGCGCTTAAACAATCTCGGAAATAAGGTGCGAGAGGAGTTTCGACCAAAACAGAATGATATAATTCATCGACGTTTGTAGCCACACATAAAGCTGGCATGGTGTCAAAAACTCCGAGTGGATGACAACGTTCGAGGAGCTCATGAGTATCTCTTTCGTGTAATGTTCCGAGGGTTAAAAGGACTACATTGTCGATCATGTAAGCGTAGGTGATGTAGTCCATGAATGTGGCAAGGGGTTCGACGGCGTTGGTACGTAAATAATTGAATTCCGCTACGAGCTTTTCGGTGGCACGATCAGCTATGGTAGCAGTGGATAAAGGGAGGGGTTCATTGGCGAGGAAGTTTCCATAATCGGTGGAGGAAAGTTGAAGACGAAAGTCTAAAAGTTAGTTGGATCGAGTTTGAAATACATACAGTACATGTAGATGAGCATGATGATGACATACCTTCCAAGTTATCACATTGAGTCAAATTATGGTAATTGTTTTGAGTCAATAGACCACCTTTGTATCCTCTCACCATTCCTTCGAGGAATCCCGCGTCCATCTGGGAGTGAGCTATGTGTGAGAGCCGTGTACAGAAAGACCCACGTTGAAGTTGAGAGCCTCCATCCTGACCCGCCTGATTGGAAGCCCAGCTTCGTGTCGACAAGCAGGCTCAATCCAGTTTAAGATCTATGTCACTCCTAGTCACTTGTACCACGGAAGTCGGTAGAAAAGCTCAAACAAGCAATTGTAGGCCTATAAGGACTGTGCGAGGCTTTGGAATGGGAAAGTCGAAGGGAAGAGGGAGGGGGGTCATACAAGTAGGAAATGTCCATCTTAAGTGAGGGGAGCACATAAACTGCTACCCCTACCACTCACCTCGATCACTTACTACTCTGTCAAAAAAGTTGAAATTTCAACCATCATCTAGAAGACCAACATACATAATCATGTTACGACCCAATACGACCCTCATCCCTCACTCTCTCCCTTCCCATATGTCGATAATAATTCCCACTCGTCAATTCTCTTCATCCTCACATCGCTCCAAAGGTGGCTTGAGACCTAAGACGTCCAACGCTCTCACTCAATTAGTCCAACGACTCCCTCGACCTCGTCAAAGACCTTTTGGCCGGTCTGACCAATCTCCTTCCACCTCTCGATTCACAGAACTATTGAATGATCATCTTTCCCCCTCTCCATCTTCCTTCTCCAACCGACCAAACACCTCCAACGTTTCTACTCCCCATATTCACCCTCGGGTAGATCACACATCTGATACTCCTCGACAACTTGCCTCATCATCGACCACTTTCACACACCCGCCTGTAAACTCCAGTCGTACACCCTCCTCCTCATCCTCGTGGTCAAAATCCTTCTCACAAAGACCTGCGGATATTTCAAGTGGGAACGTTTCACGACCCACATCCAAATTTGTCAAACCTCCAATTCAAGCAAGACCACTATATGTAGAAACCGACACGGACGCGAATTTGTCCAACTCGGACGACCCTCCTCGTCCTTGGAAACCGACCAAGAAACTCACTTACGCAGCAATGGCATCCCTCAAAGCACTTCATCTAGTCGATCCTGATCGATTCACCCGTGGAAACCTTAGTGAACTATTCGGCGTATCGGAAGAAGCTGTAAAGAGAATCTGTAAGAGTAAATTTAGGGATAAAGCTGTTAAAGAGATGATCCTACGTCATGGACTTGGGGGAGCGGAAGGGATAGTGAAGGATGGGATGGGGGTTGGGGGGATATATGAACAAGGGGAAGAGAGAGAGGTTTTGGTGGATAGTCCAGAAGATGGGGATGGGTGGGTTGATGGGTTGAGTGTGAAGTCGGTACAGGGATCTTTGGGTGGTATGGGTGGTGTAAGTGATAAACATCATAGAAATAAAGATGGGAAGGTTAGTGTGAATCGTGGGAAAGGTGAACGAGAGAAAATAGGAGGATCAGTATCAGGAAAGAAGAGGGCAAGTGTAATGGGACAAATATTCCAAGGAAGAGAAACAAGTTTAGTAGGTACTAAATGGGATACTGATCCCACTACTGCAGAAGGGATGAGTGCTGTACCTGCCATAGTACGTTTATACAAACTTGCGGAAGAGGCTAAAAAGAGGGTTGGTAGAGCGGGGAGATGAACAGAAAATGCATAATACTGTAGCAACATGCCATGTGTGTATGTTTGATTATTTCCTACAACCTTTTCCGTGTGTGTGAATTTGTGAACTTGACCGAAGACCATAAGAGCTCTGCTGAC